TCGCTCACTGACTTCTGAAAAGTGATTCAAGGTCTCAATTTCTTTACTTATGAAGGAGGGCAGATAATGGTCCCTGCCTTCCACCCATGGTTTTGTGTGAAAAAGAACGGGTTCCTGCATTAAGAGCTTTGTCAATTCTCCCACTAACTCTGAAGGCAGGGATGTGTCACTCATTTGCAACCGCCCAGTGCCAAACACGGTGACAGGCAAACTCAAAGGTTTGCTGATTGAATACATGAACTAATGATGCAGTGGAGTCTAGGGAGCATGGGAAAACCTGAAGAATATAGAATTACTAAGAATTGGTTGAGCCACGAAAAAGCTGATTTCCACGTCTACCCCCATATCCACCCATATTTAGGTAAAAGGGAAACGTACTAATATGTGTGAGGAAACATTTAAAAATGAACAATAACTGAAGAGCATTGTCTTCCAACATTTCTTGTTTTGCGGTTCTGGGGATGGAACCTAGAGCCTCACTCTACCACTGAGCTACATCCTCAGCCCCAATATTGCCTTTCTTGTCAACTCTCTGCAGTCATTTTTCTGCCAAATATTTTTCTGTTGGAACCGTGAGGTATTCTAGGCTATTACTTTTTATGATGCACCCATTATTGATGTGTTCTATGGAAAAGAACTCTATCACCACTAGGAAATGAAGTAGTTAACCTCATAGACTAGGAAATGTTCTAATGCCAGTCTGAAACAAATGCCATTCCCCCTGAAGTTGCCTTGCTTCCTACTGTCCTGCTCCTAATGACACACAGGAGAACGGACTTTGAAGTCAGAGTATTCCAATTTTAACCCTGTGGTTCCACTACTTTCTGGGTATTGACCTTGGCTTAGTCATTTAACCTGCCTGGGTCTCAGTTTCTGTACCTGTGGAGTGGGGCTGGGTGGTGACAGTGAGCAGGTGCCTGCAGGATTCCATTAGAAGGAGTGACAGTGACCTAGAGCCACCGCCGCTGCTGTGAAATCCATTGTTGGAACTAGGTGTGGTGGCACATGCCTGGAATCCCAGCAACAGTCAAGGATGGGGCAGGAGGATCCACAAGTTTAGGACAGCTTCTGAAACTTAGTGAGATACTGTTTCAAATTAAAATAATTAAAAAAGTTGGGAGTATAGCTCAGTGGTAGAGCACTCCTTGGTTCCGTCCCCAATACTACACATGAAAGGGGGGCAGAATAAATCCATTGCTGGCTTTGCATGGTAGGTCATGTCCCAAGGGCTCCACAGGCTGAGTTACAAGAAGGATGTCCTGGGAGACCCAGGGCTCGTGGCTCAAGGCTCCTTGATAACATTTCTGAACCTTCCTTAGAGTGCAGGTGATGCGGGACACTTACATTCCTCTCTCGTCCCCTTTCTTCACTCAGGGGCAGCCTGACACACTGTCTGATGACCCCTCTGGCCTTGCTCACTCCCTCTCATTTTCTCTCACAAAGAGACATTTCCCCTAATAAAACCCATGCACGTTTAATCCCTTCTCAACATCTGCTTCTGGGAGGACCCGGATGCACACAGTGTGATAATCCTTCATGGTGAGGTCCAAAGCCAGCTATATCAGCAAAGCATTTATCAGAGTGACAGGCACAGGTAAGTGCTCCCTGTGTGGTAGGGGCTCCTGCCACCTTAGCAACCGTCACCACCATCAGCGTCATCTGTCTAATTTTGCTTCTTCAATTGCACCAGGCACAGAGACCTCCAGAGGCTCATCCCAGACCATAGGGACAATTTTTGTTAGTGGGAGAACAACTATGGTTCCTGAGGAGAAGAAATGGACTGATTAAAACACTCTTTGGAAGTTTTTAAAGTTTTTCCCATTTAAGGAGTTTGTCCAAATTCCTTTCCAGCCCTCAAAAAGTGTACTCCTATATGCTAACTTCATCTTCGGTCAAATGCACAAAAGGTTTTGCAGTGTCCTCAGGTCCCTGCCAGTACTCCTGACTTCTACAAATATGCTCCCGTCAGTAAACCCAGCAGCTTATTTGCTGTTCGTGACAATCCTCAGGATAAAAACAACAAGAAAACCGCATTTATTACTCACATCGCACAGATAAGCAAACAGAGAAGCCAAGTGACCATTTCAAGGTCAGCCAGTCACTGAGAGGTTTGGGATTGAAGTTCTAGTTTTTGCTCCAATGCTTTGGAAACTAAGGAGTTGCTGGATTCTGACCAAACTCTCTCCTAGGGACATTCTCCTAGCAAGCAGGCACCAGGAACTGGCCTAAAAAGACCTTTCTCAAGCCCAATTCTGCTCAGCCTCGGGGATGCTAGAAGCTCGGGAGATGAATGATGGAGATCAGTGATGGGGACTCAGCTCCAACTAGCCTTTATGGTCAGGCCATCCTTGGTCACCTGATAAGACTTTATTCCAATTTTAGTTACCTGGTACTGTAGAGTGTGTTCCCTAAATGGACTGTCACCACCCCAAAGCTTGGGGGAACTGTGACTTATTTCCATTCAATCAGTGTCATATAAATGCTTCCTATTGAGGGTAGTGGCAATTCAGGGCGGCGTGTAGTCTGAAGGAGTAATCAACATCAATAACAACAGAAAATAAACATTTGCTGTTTAACATTGGCTTGGCCAGGCCCTGTGCCAAGAAGTGGAGATCGGTGATTAAAAGATGAGCTTTCTGACCCCAAGAGGTTGATAGGCTTGTGGGGGAGACGCTCAGGCCGAATCTGCCAGGAGGTGTCCAGGAGGACCACCTGGAGGAGGCCAGCATCGAGGAGGATGGGGGTTGGCCAGGCAGATGAGGGTGGGGAGGAGGCTCCTGACTGTGAGAACCTCTGAAGAGGGGTGGTGGTGCGAACAGAGCACTGCTGTGTTTGAGGCCTGCTGTTCAGTGCCGCTGGACGGTCAAGTTGCTTTCTATCTGACAGTTCTCATTGGCATTGTATGTGTGGTTCAGCTACGCCAATATTCCTTCCTTCACCTAGTCAGTCATCATTGATTGGCTGCCCACTGTGTGCCAGGTATCATGCAGAACACTGGGGATTCAGAGGTGAGGGGTGGACACAGTGCCTGTCTTTATGGAACGTTCAGTCTAATGAGTTTTCTGGAAAGGTGACCGAACTCCATCAGTAACATAGTGCAGTGAGCTCTAGGCAAGGGGGACCTAATCTAATGGAGGGTGTATTAGTTTCCTGTGGCTGCTGTAACAAATTACCACAAACTTCGGGGCCTCAAACAGCACTACTTAATAATAATATGGTTCTGGAAGTCAAAAGTTCAAAATCAGTTTTACTGGACAAGGTGTAAGGCTGATTCTTTATGGAGGTGCTAGGGGAGAATCTTTTCCTTGGGTTTTCCAGTTACAGAGGGACTATATCCCTTGGTTTGTGGTCACATCACTCCCATATCTGTTTCTTCCTTCACGTCTCCTTCTTTGTGATCTTCTTGTGATTATATTGGGCTCACCTTAATTCACCATAATCTCCTCATCTCAAAATCTTTAATTTACCCACATCTGCAGAGTGTCTGTTGCCATGTAAAGTGACAATCACGAGTTCTGGGGGTTGCCTGGGGGTACCTTGGAGACTATCCTTCCAGTTGCCACAGAGTGGTGGCGATTCTAATTGATACATAGTTCAATCTGAGATCCTAGAGAATTTTGCATTCATGTTAAACCCCAGGATAATTTAGCATTGAATGATTCTATTGTAAAGAATCATATACAGTAAAAGATCGATGTTCAGCTTAGTTTGCAAAGAGAAAAACTGAATTTGAGGGTCTAGGATGAGAGGCAGATTTAGATTCTTCAAGTGGCCATGCCGACAGCCAGGTGTTGGTAGGATCATTGATATTTTGAACTAGGAGTGAGATTCCGGCTCTTTGATTCACCTTGACTTCCCCAGTGCAGAGATTGGGCAGTTCAGCTCCGCTGGAGTGGATCATTGGCCTCACTTAGGTTTGCCGTCTCCTAATACCTTGTTTACGTAACAGCCAGGTTGCACCACCGCAGAGGCCATGATAACAATTAGAATAATAAGGGACGACCGAATGGAAGTGCCACGATGGGTCACTGCTGTACAAGATTTCCGCAATGCACAGTAGCACTATGTGGGGGACACTACCTTGAACTCTCTGTTGTTGCAGAAGAGCCACCAACTTAATGTATTTATTTCCAAGGTAATGAAATTGCCGTCACAGAGAACCAGGGACCTTAGAGAATTCCTTGTGTTCTGAAAACCAGGGAAAATTTCCTTTTCAGTGACTTCTTATTGGAAGACAATAGAAGCCAAATCCTATTACTAACAGTTCAGGGGCAGTTACATCTAAGTAAGCCATTTCATTTTCTATTAGGAAATACTTTTGGGATTGATTTTATTCTTATGATTTTTGTCACAAAGCTACACTAATTAACATAAATCATTGCCTTTGTTTCCACCCGTCATTCTGGCCACCTGTCTTTTTCTTTATCTTCATTACTGCTGGTCTTCAGAAACCCAACCCTTCCTTTCTGTGTCTGATTTTTGACTCTCTTTGCATCTAGCAAGATCACCCTACGTGACAGTCTTTTATTAGTCATCGATGTTCATCTCCTCTCTGTACTTGTACTTGGATAGACTAGCTGGGTATCCCTCTCCTGTTTAATTTTCTCCAGTTGAATGCTATGCCTGTTTTTCAGAGATGTTTATTTTTTGGCGTTTCTTACACATTGTTTAAACAAGGAAGCTAGGGGAGGAGATGAATCATAAATAACAGGGAAGTGGTTTTCCAATTTGGATGATTGCAGAAAAATATAAGCATTTCAAAATTCAATTAATGATTTTTTTTTTTGTCTTCAAAATTAGGACTCCTGGTGGTCCTGTGTAAGAACTCAAAATGGGTACCTAGCAAGGGATCAAATTCCCTACCTGCAGCCTCGGTGAACCAGTTTTTAATCCCCACATTTGAGAGCTGGCTTAAGGAGGACATCTGTGCTTTGTTGCTGACAAGTTTTGTGCTTTGTGATCATAAACAACACTCTCTTTCCCCCTCACCCCACCCTCAGTGGCCGTTCCTGCAGCAGCCCCGCCGGTGTGTCAGCCCAAGAGCACCACTAACGGGCACCAACCCCACCCGGCTCCTCGCCTCTCCATTTCCTCCCGCGCCACGGTGGTAGCCAGAATGGAAGGCGCCTCCCAGGGGGGCCTGCAGACCGTCATGAAGTGGAAGACCGTGGTTGCCATCTTTGTGGTCGTGGTGGTCTACCTCGTCACGGGAGGTCTCGTCTTCCGGGCACTGGAGCAGCCCTTTGAGAGCAGCCAGAAGAACACCATCGCCCTGGAGAAGGCGGAATTCCTGCGGGATCACATCTGCGTGAGTCCCCAGGAGCTGGAGACGTTGATCCAGGTAAGCAGGGCGCAATCCAAGCATGGAGCCACCTGTGGGGAGGGATGGCAGTGTCGGTTTTGTCTTGGTCCGTCACTGAGTTTTGCTTGGGTGGCCATGCTCCTGGTGGTCAGGGAAGTCCTCTCTGGGTGGGTAACATTTGGCACCAGAGAGTGACACCTGTGACAATGTGTGGCAAGAGGGACCACGAGTGCAAGGGCCCTGATGTGGGAGCAGGCTGTGCCCTATGTCACTTTGGATCTGGTGGCCAGACGCAGCAGCAGGAGAAAGGGCTTTGGACGTTCCAATTCAAGTCCACCCATAGGTGTTGATGAATGTCGTGGATCTGAACTCTGAGAAATGCTGGGATAAGACGGTGCCCTGGAAGCCAAAGAAAGGAGAATTTTAAATAAGCAGGGATGCATTCACCAATCCAAGGCCTCCAGGTGTGTGGGGGAGGGAGCTGTTGTAGGCTTGAGAGTCATTTCAGTGGTTTCTGGACTAGGAAATGATAATGATCACAGTGACAGTAACGGTCAACCTTGCTGCTTTTGGACACGTTTGAGGTGTCAGGTGCTAAGGCCTTTACAGACGCTGGGGTGTTAGTGAGAAGAGATCCTGCGAACATGAAGGCAAAGAACTTGGGGTGGAACCTGAAGAAGCAAGAGGACACCCATAAGGGTGGGGTGGGCTTGGCAGGGTGGGCTGTGGAGGTGAAGGGCTGAGGGTCACCTAGGGTGGTAAGCTGGGGAGGACTGGAGCAGGAGGCTTGAGGGGTCTGGGAGGCCTGAGAGTTTGGAAAGTCTGGCCCAGAGCTCCGTGCAGGTGAAGGTGAAGGTCAGCTGCCCAATGTCGAGGTTAACCTTTCCTCTTTTAGACGCTCTCCTGAACCATCGAGAGAGGGAGGTGGTGGAAGGCAGTGACTTTCATGGAAGCAGGGGACAG